AAAATAGTATTTCTCTCCAACTAAATCAGAATAGAAGGAGAATCTCTCCAAATGAAGATAAGATTTAATTAGAAAGTGAATTAGAGGAAAATAAACACCAAATAAGAACAAAAAAGTAAATAAGAAAACGTAATTAAAAATAAAATTTATTTAATAAATATAGTAAATTAGGTAAATAAATAATGAACAAGCAATAAAAAATGAAAAACTCGAAGTAAGAAAAACTGGCTAAATATAAAACGTCATATAGAACAGTTTTTAAAATTTCTTTCTTTTGCAGGTTTTCGAATTCATCAAAGCAGAATACGGTTCTTCAATTTTTAGTAAACTTCATCCTGTAGAGGGTGACGTGGGCATGCCAGATTTAGGTCTTTCTTCAAAAGATAAAATTATTTTGATAGAAAAAGTGAACGTTGTATACCATGCTGCGGCAGCTGTAAGTTTTAACCAACCGTTGGATGAAGCTGTTAATATAAATACGAAAGGTACCAGTCGAGTCATTGACCTGTGCAAGAAACTAAAGCATCTAATCAGCTTCATCTACGTGAGCACAGCTTACAGTAATGCCAGTAAAGATTTGTCAGAAATCAAAGAAAAAGTTTACACGTAAGATTAAATTATACAAAAGCTTCTTTTCAAATATACCATTATTGCTAAAAGATATGTAACTTACAATTAGTACGGAATACAGTGCGACAACTATGTTCTCTTGTTATTAATAACTTTGCAGCACGAGCTGGGAACCTTCTGCGGTAATCGACATTTGCGATAAACAAGATAAAAACTCGATCGCATTATTAGAAGAGAGAATTTTGAAAACTCATGCAAACACGTATGCATTCACGAAGAATCTAGCAGAACAGATCGTGTTTAGTGATTGTAAAAATTTTCCAACTGCAATAGTACGACCAAGTATAATTGGTGCCTCTTTGAAAGAACCATGTCCTGGGTGGGTGGATAATCTCAATGGAATTATAGGTGTGCCTACAAAAAATAATTAATTTGCTTTAATATAAATTAGTAAATTTCATTTTATCTACTTTAGTGTACTTTATTGTGATAATTATTCAAATTTCTTTATTTCTTTAATTATATTTCAAATAATATCAATTCTTAACGTTACAGGATTTTCCCTAACTTTTTTAAGAGAGAAATCAATCAAAGAAATTTTTGTTTGAAGATTACTTTGTTACTTTTTTGTATGTTTTGATGTATTAATTACTAGCAGTGTTTAGACAGCTTTCAAACGTAATGTATAAATTCGTTTAACAGCAGTAATACGATGAAAGTTAGGATTACCAATTTCTTGCAACTAGATCATGATTATTACTTCTACTTTTTCGCTGATACAAGAGGGCTAATCATATAATTATGCTTATTCCTTGTCTATCTTTATCGTCAATGTATCGATAATATATTTTCAAAATATTTTAAGAATTAAGAATAATGATTTTCTAAAGCAATTTAACGTTACAGGTATTGGTCTGCTAATCGGTAAAGGTAATATGAAGGTGATACTAGGTAAGAAAGAC